TCTCTGTCAAAAGCTTGAACTTACCAGAAAGGCTATGAGAATGTTTCTGTTTCTTTTTGTTTACTAGAGCTGCATTACAAAGCCATTGTGTAATTTGGAATGGATTAGTGACAGCAGAGAAGCTGGTAATGGGTCCTAGCTCTCTCTGTGTGTATGTGTGTGTGTGTGTAGGACTCAGAAGACAGAAAAGGACTCCTCTTGACCTGCCTCAGAGCTGGGCAGTTTCAAGAAAATAGAAGTGAGCTCCCTAGACAGCTGAGAGCCCCTCCCCCCATTAATTGTCCCTTCTTTGGTATCTTAATCAATTCTTCACTGTGGTTATTAAGGTGAGAACAAATGCTTCCTCCCCCAGAAGGGCCACAGATCTGTGGGTTTTCCCCTGAGTAAGTAGTATGAGGACTGACCAGACTTTGAAAGGGACGTGGATTCCTAGAGTGAAATGCTGGTGTCCCTATCAGTAGTTTTCAACCTGGGGCTACTCCATCAGTCACTCCAAGGGGTGTTTGGAAATGTGTTTTTGTGTTGTGTAGGGAGAATGGATTATTTTTAATGATTTATTTTTTAGAATCCATTTTTAGAGACGTTTTAGGTTCACAGCAAAATTGGGTGGAAGGTACAGAGGTTTCCCATTTACCCTGTGCCCCGCACGTGCACAGCTACCCCCACAGAGGGAACATGGATTGTGATTGATGAATCCCAGCCTGCTTCCTCTATGCAGGCCCAGGGATGCTAAGTGCCCAGGACAGTCCTGTCCAGGGAAGACTTGTCTCACCTCTGTGCTAGCCGCCACACTGTGGGGCCCCAACGCAGGCAGGCAAGGGCACGCTGCAGGGGTCACTTCTTACACGCTTTGACCAGATGGGCCTGTGTGCTTATTACTGGCTTTTATTTTAAGGACTATGGTTTGAGGAAGAGCAGAGTAAGAGGGCCTCAGGGATGGGGCAGCAGTCTGGCCGCGTGGTGCCCTTTTCTAACGTGGACATAGTTTAATAAGAGCATCAGCACTGTTGGGAAGAAGAGGCGGTGATGAGTTATCTGTAATCTATCTGGGTGAGTCTACCCAGGTGACTCACTCCTGTCCCAATTCTTGAGAGTCAAGAAGAACATCTTTATAAAGGGTCTCTGCAATCGAAGGTGGCTGCTCCCAAGGAGCATAATGAGCCACAGCTGATGGAGTGTCCCTGTGACCCTGCGCTTCCCAGGAGCCCATGCTGGCTGAGAGCTGTGAGCACCGGCTTCCGGGCCAGACCAGGAATCTGAATCCCAGCTCCACTTCTTTGCTAGGTAGGCATGTGTCCTTGGGCAGGTCACTGCTCTGTGCTTCAGTGCCATCTTTAAAATGGGGGAGGTAATGGTACCCATGTCACAGAGGAGTTGTGAGACTAAAGAAGCTACATTGCAGAGCCCCATGTTCTGAAGTATTCAATTAAAAAAAAAATTATTACCAGGATCGTGATTTCTCCAACTAACTCCTCAACTCACTATCATTTGCCGCTTTTTTCTCTACCACTCAGTAGAAATTGCTCTCGTGAAGGCCACCCCCATATTTCCACATCCAGTGACCTATTTTCATTCTTCATCCTATTTGTCTTCTATGAGTCTCTTGAACTTCTAGAAATCCTCTTCCTTCGATGTCCAAGATAATGCCCTTTTCTTGTTCTCTTCCACTTTTCTGCCATTTCTTCTCCTCCTACAATGCAATGCCTACATTCTATATATTGGGGTTCCCGGGGGATCTAGTGTTGGGCTTTCTTCTTTCATTTCTGTGGAGTGCTCCTGGGTGACCCCGTGGCTTGGCAGCCTATGGCAGAACGTTTCCCTCTGTGGCTCTGGCCCCAGCTTTTTCACATCCTAGAATAGGTGGCTACTTTTAGGCGGTAAGATCTTGAAACATTTTGTTGACCACTGGATGTCCATGGATTGACTATCTGTGTACAGATTCAAAGGAACGTCCTTGCACAAAAGTTCTAATATTTTAATCTTCTCAAACTTCTTCTGATTCTGTGCCTTTCTCCTGAGCCACTGTGACAATGCATGTCCCATCATGCCAAGAACAGAATGGGAAGGGATGGTGGTAACTTCTGTTACCTGGTTGTTTTGTCTCCTTGCAGTGCATGGTCTACAGGCCTGATGAAGTCTGTGGCTGTGAGCTGTGGAGTGAGCGAGACAGCCTGGGTGCGAATCCTGCCTTTATTTTTGCCTTAACCTGTCCCCCCTGGACACCTGCTTCCTGCAGCCTGGTGGCCTGAGGCTCCCACTCTCTGAGACTGGGTGTCCTCTTCCTCCTTTCTGTGTTTGCCCCCATTTTGCTGAAGTTCCTTCTCCTGATGCTTCCTAAGAAAGGGGATGAGTGAGACACATTTTTCCACATTTTCCAATACCTTTCTTTTCACCTATACAGTGAAGTAATACATTTTTTAGACAGAATTCCAGATTACAAAGTTGTCTATCAAAATTTGGAAGGAATTGCTCAGTACAGAAACGGCAGTAGTGTTGTCAGGGAGAAGTTCATCATCTTTCTGATTGCTCTTCCTTTGTGAATGTGACCTCGCCTTCCCTCCTGGAAGCTCTGAACATCTTCTCTTTATCCCCAGGATTCTGCCTTTTGTGCCTTTGTGCCTTGATAGTGTGCACTTGTGTTAACTGTGCTGGGAACCGTGTGGGTAGTTTCCTTGACTTTGTCTTTCCGCTCTTCTTTGTCAAATTTAGATGTTCAGTGATTCCCAAGGACAGTTTGTTATGTAGGTACAAGGCCCTCATTTACCTCTCTGTGGATAGTATAAGGTCTCTTTCTGCTTCCTGCGTTGCCTCCGGCTCTCGTACACCCGTGATTGCTTGTCTCTTACTCTCATTTTCATGCTGAAGCTTTGCTGAAGGGCCTGGAAAGCTGATATGATTCCCGTGCACACACACACGTGTGTGAGTGAAGCTTAGTTACGTGCAGTGTGATCACAGAGCGAACTTGACTTTCCTTTGAGAGATCTGAGGGTTTCGATATCTGGACCAGTGATTTTTTTCAATTGGTGTGCCATGAAAATTTTTAAAGATCATTAATTAAATTTTTTTCAAAAGCAATTCAAAGCACAGTAAGTGTATTCTTTTTTTTAACTCTTTTTTTTCTTTTGGATCAACGTAATTTAAGTGTGCCATGGATGTTTAACTATAAGTTCAAGTGTGCCATGAGATAAAAAAAGGTTGATAAACCCCAATCTAGATACATTTTTTTGAGAGTTTCTCCAGAGAAGCATTTCTCTAATCTGCGTGGTGGTGGTGTGAGATGAGATGGGGTGGTGGGGGAGGTTTGGTTTCTGTTGTTCTAGAAGGGGGAAGAAGGGGCTCAGCCTCATGTTTCATCCCAGCCTCCCCTGAGCCTTTCCAGTTCAGTTTCTCGGGGCAAAGTGCTGCAATCCTGCAGGCTGGGGGTGAGGTGATGGTGCGGGTGCCTTGTTGCGGCCAACCTTACCTTACGCCAACCTTTCTGGCCACCTTGTCCCTTCAAGCCCTGAGCTTCCCCAGCAGAACTGACTCCCTCTTTCTTTTCATACACAGATATTTCTTAAATCCTTTTATATTTTGGCAGTGTTCGAGGAAAGAGGATAAAGAAAGGTGCTTAGTTTTCCTGGTTTAACTGGAAGTCTCTATGAAGTTTTTCTAAAAGTCTACGAGGTATTTTCGGGAACTGGCTTCATTTTGCAAAGCAAGTGATTGTTGTGAGTGTTTGGGCAACCGCTTACTGCAACTTTTCCACATGGCCACGTGGCCTCCAAACACAGACAGGCATTTGTCAGGGACTGGAATAAGCCAGTGTGTGCTGACAGAGTGGGATTCAGGGTCCTCCGTTTGCGTGTACCAGTCTCCCATTTAGTTCTGCCTCATTGGTGCTTCACCTCGCTCTTTGATGGGAAATATTCTCTCCATAAACTTCAGTAAGATGTAATGGATTTCTGCAGTGGAAATATTGTTCAAGCTGCAAAACAAAATCACAGCAGGCACTTTGTCTGGGGACTGTGTGTCTAGCAAAGCAGCTATTTGAAACGCCAGTCTTATGAAGCCACAAACAGTCACAGCTAATTCACTTTACAGGATTTTTATTTCTATGTATGGGAGACTCACACCACCCAATAGAATCATTGCTCTACCAGGACTACAGCGTTAATTCTCTTTGTTATCTTGTGCTTTTGAGTAACCTTATTTATTGGGTTTCTTCTTTGGGTCAGAAAAAAGCTAGAGTGAAGCTGGGTTGGGGTTGGTAATCACACAAGGTGATGTCCTTTGAAGCTATTGGGGCAGTGTGGAGTCTGGATCTTTCAAGAGCAGGACAGCCGGTCCAGCTGCCAGTAGGCTCAGAGTCATGCAGCCTAATTACTGTCATTCGTGAACTTGGCCCAGGTTAGATCCAGGCCCACACAGGGCATGTCTCCCTATGGATAAGGGAGGGTAGGGTCTGAAGGTGAGTTGAAAAGCTCTGGGTCCCCAGTTCTCTAATCAGAGGTTCTTAATCCTGGCTGTCCATGAGACTCACCTGGGAAGCTTTTACCATCCTAATGGCTGGCTCACACCCTGGACAGATCGAATCAGTACCTGTAGAGATGGAACCTGTCATCAGTAGTTTTTAAAGCTTCCCAGGGGATAAGGAGCAGGGTGCAAATGACTGCCAGATCATTTTTAAAAATCCTGTTGTTGTTACATAAACAAAGAAACTTACTTAAAACTTTTATTATTTCAATCTAATTTGAATTTGAGGAAGAGAAAATAATTCATGCCATGGTCATTTTAGTTCACTTTTATTCTGCAGCTGTTCCCATAGTTTGATGGGGTAATTCTCAAGAAAGAGAATTAAGGGGTGGTTCTCTGAATTCAGAATTCAGAGCATTCAGGGAACACTGTTTTAGTGGAGTTTGCTGGTGCTTAAAGCATGGTGTGTGTGGGATGTCTGTGGCAGGGCTGGGAATTGGCCAGATGTCACCTCACTGGGTGCCGTGTCTCTCCTGGCCTGGCAGGTCCTGTGGCTGTCATTAGTGGTGAGGAGGACTCAGCCAGCCCACTGCACCACATCAACCATGGCATCACCACACCCTCGTCGCTGGACGCTGGGCCCGACACTGTGGTCATTGGCATGACACGCATCCCTGTCATTGAGAACCCCCAGTACTTCCGTCAAGGACACAACTGCCACAAGCCAGACACATGTAAGTACTGGGAGGGGGTGCTGTCCCTTCCGGGGAGGGAAGGGTGGTGTGGCAATAGACCATGTAGCTGGGGTTCTGGAACCTTCTGGGGTGACCTGTCACCTGCTAACCTCTCACTTTTTAGGAGACCCTCCCTGTCTGTCTCTAAGCTGGAAGAATAGCCTGGGCCAGGAGTTCTCTGGGCACAGAGTCCCCTGGGAAGGGAAGGCCCCGGGTCTGACTCTGGCTCCCTCTTCTGTTCACCTGGGTTCAGCAGGATCCTGAGTAGAGAGAGGTGTTCCTGATAAGGCAGGTGACACAGAGGAGCTGGGTCTTCTCTCTAGACCTGGCCTATGTAATTAGGAAGTATAACCTGACTCTGTTCAGACAGCAGCCCCTGAGCTCAGCAGAACCTCAACCCAAGCCTCCATGAGAAGGGAAGGGAGTAATGGGCGGTGAGTACCTTTGAACAGAAACATCTCTCTCGCTGCCCCTCCAGTGCCCCGAAGTGTGCACTTCCTGGGACTCACATCACAGCCCAGGGCTAGGAACACTCACCTCCTCACTGCAGACATCTCACTCCGACCAGAGGCCTCCAGGCACCTGTTTCCTCCTCATTTCTCAACCCTGTTGGCTCCAGCTTCTCTTTCTATTTCTGCTGAGCCCTGCTGGGCCCCTCTCAGCTCCTGGAACCTCGTGGCTTAGCCTTCCCTCCAGCAGGCTCCTTGCTGTGTCTCCAGGCTCCCTCCAGGCCCAGCACCACCAATGCATACCTCCACCTCTCAAACTGTGCCCTGGAAATGATCCACTGCTTCAGGGAGAGCACAGAGGCCCCTGGACAGTGAGGCATCAGTGTTGACCTAGGAGCTGGAAGGGACAGAAATGATGGGCTAGGTTAAGGCCCACTTTAGGGGCAGGAATGCTGAGGTTCTGGGAGGCCGTGAGCTCCCTGTCCCTGTGAGTCCCTAGCTGGTGGGCTCTCTTCATGTTTCAATTGGCCACCTGGGAGGCCTAGGAAAAAGCACCTTCTGGTCTTGCTCATCCCCTGGCCTGAGCTCTCTGCACTTGGGCCACACTCTTTGTAGCTCCCAGAACTCTTGCTGTTCTCTCTGGTTCATCTTGTAGCAGTGTGGGCGTTTGGTTACCCTTATCAGCCTTTGCTTCATTTCTCGGGCTCTGATTTTTAGTGAGAGGGTTGCCATGGTGGAAGAGATGGGGCTTACGTCAGCATAAGGCCATCGTTTACCTTCTAACCCTGGGTGTTCTGCACTATCTCAGTGTTTATCAGACACTCTCTGTCAGTACTAGAGGAAAGATAGCTGGGTTCTGGACCAGGGCTGGGCAAGGAAGAAAGAGCCCTGTGTGCTGCTTCAGCGAAAGCACTTGTCTCAGATCAGGCTCATTCCCAGGCTGATCTGGACATGGCTGGGAGAAAAGACCGTCTATGGTGGCAGTATGGGTCCAAGTATGGTCTAGGGTTAAGGCCAAATTTTCTAGTATTCCATTAGTATTTGAACAGAGTCTTAGACCTGGCTGTGTTGAATGAATAGTTCTCTTTATTTGCAGTTTTTATTTGCAGTAGTTCTATCAAGTTGCTGCAAACACTGACTCAGCAGACACTGAGCCATTGCTCCTAGGGGAAATATAGGGTTAGGTTCCTGTGAGCCTCTATGCACAACATTTTATCAACTAATCAATGCATAACCTTGCATATGTGTTTCTGTTTAAAGACACCTTACTTAATACATACTGTTGATTCATTAACATTAAGTTCATGGCCAATGCTATTATAACTCATCTGAACAAAGCTTATCTAACAAAAGCATGTTCTCTGGAAGGTCCATCACACCTGTCTTGTGCTTAAGGACATTAGCCAATAGTTCAGAACTGTGTGGGTGGGTGGGTGGGGGCTTGCTAAACTGTAAAATCACTAAGCAAAGCACACAAATGCAAAAAATGTGGTCCACAGTAGACTACATAAAGGACATTTGTTTATAATATGAGAGCTGAACAAGAATTAAATAAAAGACCATGTTGTACATGATAAATTATACAATTTTTGTCAAATGAAATAGACGAAAGAAAAAGAAAAAAATAAAGAAGAAGACAGAGTGTCTCATTTTTTAGCCTCAACTGGAAACGTGTAGGTTAGGTGACTTACATTTTTGTTACTCTGTACCTATGCCCAAATGACCACGAAAGCCTATTAAGTGTGGTTTAGGGATTGTATGTAAATTTTAGCAATAAGGAAATTCACAGCATCTGTGAGAAATGAGGATCACTGTGTTCTCTTTAGTGGGAGCTCTAGGTTCTAGCTACGGAATATCATCTCTGGGTCACATTTGTTCTCCCTGGAAATCCTGATACCAGGTTATGGGCACAATTGCCAAATGGGGAGGGAAGTTTCCTCTGAGCCATCAGAGTAAGTGTCCCGTGGAAACCTAGGAGCCTGTGGGATCTGCTGAGTGTCCTTTGATGTGGAGACAGAGCACAGCCAAGGAGCCATCACACTAGGGAAAGCCTTCCTTTTAGCGTGCTCCTGAGTTTGCGGTTCAAAGTGCCTTAAAGATCCAGGCAGTTCTGTGTGAGCAAGAAGAGGGTGGTGAAGATGGAAGGGAAACAGTTGTGTTGATGAAGACTGAAGGAATAGGGGAGCAAACAGTACCTTACCAGCCAAAAATCACCAGGGGACTCCAGATTGTCAAGCCCCACTGATAGCAGGGAAGGTCTACTTTGGAGGGAAGCAGTGTATTTTGTCCTATCAGTCAACAGTGGCTAGCTCGTGATTGTTTTCAGAAAACATGTGTGGCCCAGAAGACAATGTGAGAGGCAGCATAAATGGATTTGGCTAATCCTCCCTCTGCAAGTCCATCGGTGACTCACACAGATGAGGGCAGGGAGCACCCAGACCAGTCCTCGGAGGAGATTTACTGGCTGAGCCGGCAGCGGGTCTCTGATTTCCAGCGCTTCATCAGTTGAGGGAACTGACTCCAAGATGCATTCCTGTGTGTGATGAGACACTACTATAAATAATTAAAACCACATGCATCTTGGTACATAAATAAGTAGAGAACATTTATGGTGCTATAGACAAGGCCCGGGTCTATCCTTTGGGGGTGGCAAAAAGTAGGGAGACTAAGAGAGGAAAGTTGCTCCTATAGTGAATCCCCTAGGCACTGTCCCCATCCGATCCCCTTCTTTGTCCCATTTTAAAATGTGCAGTATGGGATGGAATTGTAGGAACGTGGTGCTACCTGGCTGCAGACATTTCCCACTGCCCCCAGTGATGGATTATACATAAAAACGCTTTTCTTTCTTTATTCCTCGTGTGCTTATCATACATGGTGGGACCTTTCAGACCGGGACGATGAGGAGGCGGCTCCTGTCTTTGCATCTCACTTTCTGTCTGCCTTCAGTCTGGCCCATAGCACTTTTGCTAGCATGTCAGGCCGCAAGGATATTTAGAGCTCCCCAGTGCATTCCTTTCTCAGATACTTGCGTCCCCTTGCCTGTATTCCCAACATGTGCTCTGCGTTTGATATTGTCTTTATTCTTAATTTGTTCAGCCTTTCCAGGGATTCTGAAAGAGCTGAATAAAGATACTCCTGGTTGGAAATGTATATAGAACCCAACGGCTAATAAGGCCCCTCATTATTCACACGAAGCTTCAAAGGCATCAGGAAATGGATGCAAGCCTCTTTGTCACACAGTTGAGGATCCCAGGCTTTGTGCTAAATAAACCCTATAGAATGAGACACCCAAGGGACCAATCCGTATGGGTCACTGGGGAGTTGTGTTTGCAGCAACACTGGACTCTCGGTTACCTTTCGTCACCATCTGACGGGTCTGGCCAGTCGTTCGTGGGCTGGGGTCAGACTGCCAGCTGCTGTTTTCAGAGGCACACTTGGCCCATTGGACAGTGGAAAGGCTCCTCAGCTGTCTTTAAGGCCCTGGGCTTCTCTGTTCAACCCTTTCCCCAAAGCCCATTCTCTTGGCTGGGAAAGCAGAGGCCATCTGGGGACAGTAACTCCTGTCCTGACTTGTCCCTCCTTCCTTTTCTCCTCTGATGTCAACATCTGCCTTTGTTTCCATTTTGCTCCTGTCTTTTAGGAAACAGTGTGTCTACCCTCCCAGAGCCAATGTCCCCCAGCCTTTCTGGGCTGTTTCTGCAAACAGGGCCTCTTCCTGCCTCGTTCAGCTCGCCCTTTCTTCTCCCCTCCCCTGTGTGGCGGCTCAAACCCACCATAAGCCCCTTGCAGTTATCTGTTGCATGGATCCATCTCTGTTTCCATTTCCCCAGGAAGCCCTCCTCTCTCCATCCTTGATCTCTTTGTAAAACTTGACCACGTTCCTCTGAGCCTCCCTTCACTGTCAGCTTTCGAGTCACTTGTGCTGGGCTGATTCCTTCCCCTTGCATCTATTCAATACATATTTATTAAGGGTTTGCATCAGATTTTCTCTTAGGCTGTGGAAACAATGGGAAACAAGAAATACACATTCCCTGCCCTCCCAGGTGTCTTGCTAACCATTGCTGATCCCTAAGGCCCAGGTTGGATCCCCTGCTCTGGGGCAGCTCACGGAAATGTGTCTTCCACTTTTATCTTTCCCAGCGTTTGTGTCTTCTTTCCAGAGCACAGCCCCACACCTCCAGCTGCTACCTTGGTATAATTACATATTCCTACATGAGATGCCGATTTCCCCTCCCCACACCATGCCGCCCCCCAGACCACGCCTTTTCCCTCCATGCTACAGCTTATTTGTCATTTCATACCCGGCTCATTTCCAGCCTCTTGTGAATTCTTCCTAGGCCCCTGCTATCTTTCTTCATCTGTTTGTGTTGCTATAAAGGGATACGGGAGGCTGGGTAGTTTATAAAGAAAAGAGCTTTATTTGGCTGATGGTTCTGCAGGCTGTACAAGAAGCATGGCGCCAACATCTGCTTCTGGGGAGGCCTCCGGAAGTTTCTGCCGCTGGTGGAAGGGGAAGGGGGCTGGCTGGTGTGGAGAGACCCCAGGGTGGGA